ACTTTCTTAATTTAAATAATTTAGATAATTTTTTATCCATGGCCACTGCATGCCACCTCTCGGGGTTCCACACCCCATCCTTGAGGTAGGCCCCCGAGAGGTTCCTGGGCCAGGCCTGCGCGAGGGGTGAATCGCGCAGGGCCAGCAGGGCCGTCTTCGTGTGCATAGTCCGCACAAGGGAGTCCGTGGCGCAAAGGGACCGAGTGCCCAAACTGCAACCCAAAACCCACTTATGTATCGCCGGGTGGGCGTGGCTATGGTGGAAATGGCAGACTGGGTGGGCGTGGCCAGCTCGATGTTGCTCTGGCGGGTGGGGCAGTGGGCAGGAGGGCATCTTGCTCAACGGGTGGGGGGCAATGGGGGGCAGCTTCTGAGCCCCACAGCTCTTCCGAGGGGGGGAGGAGAGTGGGGAGGGGCTGTGATGGGATTGGGGCTCCTCGTGCCTTCCGCTGCCCGCCTGCGCTCTTCTGCCAAAGATGCCACGGCTCTGCTTGCCTGGCAGGACGGGGGTGTGCTTGCGCACGGGGACGCACGTAGGGCTGCTGCCTCGCTTTCCGTGCTGTGCCGTGCCGTGCCCGGGCTGGAGAGAGAATCGGATGTCTGACGTCTGTGGTGCTCTCTGAGCTTGGGGATTTTCTTCTAGATGTTTCATAACCTAACTAGATAACATCATCAGTGCAGTGCTACAAGGGAGTGGGGTTTGTGGAGAGGAGGAGGAGGAAAGGAAGGAAGGGAGGGAAAGGGAGGGAGGGAGGGAGGGAGGGAGGGAGGGAAGGAAGGAAGGAAGGAAGGAAGGAAGGAAGGAAGGAAGGAAGGAAGGAAGGAGAAGAACTGTGGGGTCCTTGGTGCTCTCTGAGCTTGGGGGTTTTCTTCCAGATGTTTCATGACCTAACTAGATAACATTATCAGTGCAGTGCTACAAGGGAGTGGTGTTTGTGGAGAGGAGGAGGAGGAGGAAAGGAAGGAAGGAAGGAAGGAAGAAAAGGGAAGGAAGGAAGGAAGGAAGGAAGGGAAGGAAGGAAGGAAGGAGGGAGGGAGGGGGGAAGGGAAGGGAGGAAGGAAGGAAAGGAAGGAAGGAAGGAAGGACGGACTACTGTGAGCTCCTTGGTGCTGAGTTTGGTTGCAGACGTTTCACTACCTAACTCGGTAACACCATCAGTGTTAGAAGGGAGGGGGAGATTGCGGAGAGGAGGATGACGACCATGGAGTCCATCGTGCTCTCCGAGCTTGACTGCTTTCTTGCAGACGTTTCATGACCCAGCTAGGTAACATCCTCAGTGCTCGAAGGGAGAGAGGGGCCATGGCTGCTCTCGTTCTGCACGTCTTTTCTAAGGGTAGACGAGAGCAGAGACGCTTTTCACGACCTCGTCTCCTTTTGCACACACCCCCTTTCCCGGCTCCAGACCAAGCAAGCGGAGGCACCGTTGACTGGACCTACGACCAGGGCATTAAGTATTCCTACACCTTTGAGCTGAGAGACAAGGGCAGACACGGGTTCCTGCTCCCGGCGAACCAGATCATTCCCACGGCAGAGGAGACCTGGCGCGCCCTGATGGTCATCATGGAGCACACGCGGGACCACCCTTACTAAGCCGGAAGGGCCGGGCTCAGGGCGACGGCCTGGCCCTCCTCCGCCCACATCTGCCTTCTGATTCTGAGGAATAATCCCCTCTGCACGTGTAATCTGCTCTTGCTGCAATTCTGCTGCTTAGCTGTAGGAGGCGGTGTGGCAGAACCTGGAGGGTGGAGTCAAAAGAGGAACCAGCCTGGCATCTCTACATAGTCACAGGCGAATTTAATCTAAGGTCCCTTGAATTCCAGTGACTTTTATCTAACAGGTGCTGATAGATTGACAAAATTGTTTTCAGCAATAAAGCAGTTTAATTGGACCGTCACGCATGGACCTATTATTTTTTTTGTGTGTGCCTGTCCCTTTTTCGAACTAAACAAGTCCAAGTGACGGGAGGCAAAAGGATATTGGTGAAATCCTTTTATGAAATACTGAATTTCAGGATTCAGTAGCTTAGAATAGAAGTGCAAAGAAGAGCGACTGATGAAAGGCCTGGAGACTAAAACGTATCCAGAACGGTTGCAGGAACTGGGTAGGGCCAATCTAAAGAAGGACCAGGGGTGACACGATAGCCATGTTTTTAGTATTTGAGGGGCAACAAGCAATGGATGGAAACTGATCAAGGAGAGAAGCAACCTGGAACTAAGGAGAAGCTTCCTGACAGTTAGAACAATTAACCAGTGGAACCACCTGCCTCCAGAAGCGGTGAATGCTCCAACACTGGAAGTTTTTAAGAAGAGACTGGACAGCCGTTTGTCTGAAATGGTGTAGGGTTCCTGCCTGGGCAGGGGGTTGGACTCGATGACCTCCAAGGTCCCTTCCAACTTTATTATTATTATTATTATTAAATATGAATCAGTTGCCAAGCATCTGAATGTAAATCACAAGACCCTGGAGATGCTGC